AGTGAAATTTATGAAGGAGTGTCTCACACGAGAAACAAAAACAAAATCATGCGTTAAGAATCTCTATTTACGACGCAAATAAATTTCTTTGAACTAACAACAGCAAAGAATCTTCCAACTCGAATCGGAGCACAGCAAATTTTAGTTAGTTTAGGTAAACTCTAAATGCTTGCATAATAACATTTTGTCTTACTTGATTTAAGTAAAAAAAATGTTTATTTCAACAATTTATAAGTTTTTTATTTTTTATAATTAAATATAATTTCTTTATATATTATTTAGAAACCTATGATAGCAAATGATGATTTTTTACTTCGGCACTTGCTTAAATTGTTAATGGCAAAACGGCGTATCTTAAAATCGCCTGGTACTGATAAGCCCAAAAAAGATCGTCAGCCATACTACTACAAATTTGGGGTTCTTCCGTGAAAATTTTGGCCTTTTTCGTGAAAATTTTGGCCCCTCCCGTGAAAATTTTGGCCCCTTTCGTAAAAATTTTGGCCCCTCCCGTAAAAATTTTGGCTCCTTTCGTGAAAATTTTGGCCCCTTCCGTAAAGTTTTGGCCCCTTTCGTGAAAATTTTGGCCCCTCCCGTGAAAATTTTGGCTCCTTCTGTGAAAATTTTGGCCCCTTCCGTAAAGTTTCGGCCCCTTTCGTGAAAATTTTGGCCCCTCCCGTGAAAATTTTGGCTCCTTCCGTGAAAATTTTGGCCCCTTCCGTAAAGTTTCGGCCCCTTTCGTGAAAATTTTGGCCCCTTCCGTAAAAACGTTTGCCTTTCCCGTAAAAAAAATAATTTGAACCTTTTTAAAATTTTGACGCCCCCGTCAAAGATGTCCAGATCGGTACTTTAAACAGATTCATATTTAAGAGTGGGTAAAGGGCTATAGCTCATTTTTTCCACGTAAGTTCACGTGTGTTGTTTTTGATAGCTTTTGTTTTAGCATATATCACATATGTGATATACAATATTATCGAAATAATTAACATTATTCTCCGTATCACGAGTACCGTCATCATCATCATATCGTCGTTGTTTTAATGCTATAACCTCTATAGCCATAACCTTAAGTATTATAATATAATAATAATAATATTAAATTATTATGATGTAATATAATTACATTATAGTATGGTAATTATAGTTGTTTAAATAAATATTTCGTCATCATCACCTTAATTGTCCTCACTAAATTTCTATCATCATTATCATAATCACTATCATCTTCATCATCACCATCATCCTCATCTTCTTCTTCACCATCACCATCATCATCATCTTC